AGGCCTGCACGGGTTAGGGTTTAGGGTTTAGGGCATTGTTTGTTGTGAGCATCTTGGACCACGCTCATACCCTCAGACAAGGTCGCGGATATCTAGGTGGAAGACCCGCTAAGCTAAAGTGGGCATCTCAACCCTGCTTGAGGGTCGAGGGCTTAGCGTTGACGATGTAGGGCTTAGGATTTAGGTTTAGGACTTTGGTTTTAGGGTTGAGCCTTTGGACTCCGACACTGTTCATGCGGGTGGTTGCATTTTACCTATACCAGGCGCTGCCTCAGAAAGGGGTGCCAAAGCAGGACCAGAATTTCAATACCAAGAAGCATAATAGGGATTGGAAGGAGACTTACTTACCTTTGCTTAGCAAGCATTGAAGGAGTGGATCCTTGTAGTAGGCCCCTCAAAATCCCACTTGAATACAGTAGTTTCTTTTCTCTTGTCCATTGATTCATTCCCTGCTACCCAGAGGTAAGCCCTAAATCCAACACGCAGGAGATGTAGGCCTGCCAAGACGCACCGGTTGAGGGTTCAGGGTTTAGGGTTCTGGATTGAGGGTTTAGGTCTCGGGTTTAGGGTTAAGGACTTAGGGTTTACGGCTGAGGGGTTTAGGCTTTGGTTGGGATGCATATTCGAAGTCACGGGGTAGGAGGGCAAGTGCGATTGAGTCAAGCATGGCTTAGGGGTTCAGGGTCGGGGTTGGCTGGGTTTGAGACCCAAGGGTCCAAGGCCCCAAATGCAGGGTTATATTGGAATATTGGAAAAGAAAGTGGAAACTACTCTCGTATTTCTGGTTTAGGGTTTAAAGTTTACCCTGGGGGTCCAAGACCCAAATCATATGGCTTTAGGGCCCAAATACATTTAATGTTATAGTATGTGCACCCTAAAACCCTATTATTTGGGTACTTGGACCCTTAGCGAGACCTAAGCCCAAATATCCTAAACCCTGCAAACCCTAAAACCCAAAAACCCTAGCAATCGCATATCACCTGGTGATAACATCCAGGGCGCCCAAACTGCTCGCACCTAAACTCTATAGACCCCAAATCCTATACCCTAAACCCTATATCCTAAAGCCTGAATCGCAGCGCTGCTTTTGAGCGTTGTCCTAAGGGTCCGAATCCCGTTAATATATTGGGGTTATAATATAGGGTTATACTGGGATAATGGAAAAGAAGATGGAAAGTACTATAGTACTTCGGGTCCAGGGTTCCAAGTTTGCCCCAAGGGTCCAAGGACCCACATAATAGGAAATACCACTCATATTATAGTATTCGGGGCCCTGAAACCCTATTTTGTCGGATCCTTGGACCCTTGGGGTTGGATCAGTGTGTAGGGTGCAGTTTAAGGTGAGTGTCCAATCACCCCAACATTGGGTACAGTACTTAGGATTTGGGTGCTAGCAGTTGTAGTATGGGTTTGGTTAAGTAGCTCATTATTGGGTTCTTGGATCGTCGGGGTTAGAGTTTTCAATATTTGACGAAGCCTACAGTACTATGTTCATATCAAGGGACGGGAGCATGGAAGCTACGATCTCAGTCACGTACCTCTCCAAAACCAACATGGAACCCCAGGGAACCCCAGGGTACAAGTAACTGTAGTACAGGCTTTGGGTAAGTCTATGATCATTGAGTACTTGGACTCTCAGGGAGAGAGCATCTCAGGATAGCCGTGGTGGGTTTAGGTTGCCCAGCTCTGCCCTCTCTTGTTTGTGAAGGGGGGCTTCACAGAAATACAAGGAACAGGCAATTCTATTAGTGTAGAGGTCAGTGTCGGTGCCAGGTAGCGTCCCACAATTAAGCTTGGGGAGCTATCCAAGCGTGCCCCCTTGCCGCCCCAGGATCGTTTTGCTTTATTGTTTTGTGTGTCTTCGGGGTTTCTAGCCTTACTAGCCACCATGAGGGTCCAAGGACCCAAATAACAGGGCTTTAGGGCCCAAATACCATTAATGCTATAGTATTTTGACCCCAAAGCCCTATTATTCGGGTCCTTGGACCCTTAGGGAAAGATTTGTGTCGTAGTCTGAAGCTGGCATGCACACCATGCATAACCTCCAGCTTTTCAGTTTGAACCCACATATTCCCAGGTCAGGTAGTGTTTCCCTAAGAGTCCAAGTACGCAATAATCATGTAAGTACCCGAAACCTACACTAGTATAGTTACCATTACCCTAAACCGAAGTAGCTAAGTATTGGGTACTTGGACCCTTTGGTTTTCTTAAGCCTTCCTAGGGGCCCTTTTTGATTATAGATTATATTTCGGCACCTAATACCTAGGGGTACCAAAGTAGGAGTCTAATTTTAGGAACTAGCCGTAAGTAGAAGGACAATGCTTTGGCTGAGACAAGAAATACGGCAGGACCACACATGGATTCTATTGTTGCAAATGTGGATCTGAAAGTTGTCTGGGTCCAGTGAGAATAGTCTACGGAGGCCAACATTCTGATAGAGGTACCAACGCCCAAAATATGGTTCTTGTTTTACTTAACCGCATATGTCTGTCATTGCCACATAGATGCCTACTTTTCTACGTAGATGCAAGCAAACATACCCACAAAATGTAGTTTTGCGCATACCTGTGTTTGTGCGTCTATATGTCCGCGCGCACATGCATTATACGGTGCACTTGAGTAAATCTTGCACCACTTAGAACCTCCCCCCGCAATGGCCTTAAATAGTGTACTTTTTGGGTCAAAACAGTTTGCCGCAGCAGCCTGGTCATGGGGATGGACATTGAACGGCTGATTCTGGACTTTCTGCAGCAACGAGCCGCATGGACAGAGACTGGCGAAATCCGGGCTCACATAGCCGAGCAAACAAATGCGACTACCACGAAGCTGGGAGAACGTTGGGGTTAGGGGTTCCCCTGTCCGTAATGGGGGATAAGATGGGGTTATAGGGGTATGGAAAAAGAAAACGGAAGCCACCATTTAGGGTATAGGGTTTAGAGTTAAGGTCTTAAGGACAGGGCTAGGGGTTTTCTGGTTTTGGGTTGTAGCATTGGGTTTTGGGGTTACCCAAAGGGTCCATGTAGCTGAATAGTATATACTTGGGCCATAAAATATTGTTATAGGAACCTCTTTGGGCCCTAAGTATATGCTACATAGCTGCATGGACCCTTTGCATTAGGGGTTTGGGGATTGGTATCTTTAAGTTTTGAGTTCTGGCTTGTACATCTTATGCTTGTTGTGGCATGGGTCCCCTTTTCTGCACGAAGGCAAGGATCCTGTGTCATGCCAAGAGTAATAGGTTTTAAGGCTTAGGTTATTAGGGACTAAGGAAGAGCCAGGTGAATCCTCACCTCTACAGGCTGGAGAAAGAGGGTAAGGTGGTAAAGGATCCAAGTTCAAAGTCACCCCTTTGGAAGCTTGGAAGCATAGCAAGCCAGAGGCCTGTATCAGGCAAAGAAGAAGCACGTCTCTGTGATGAGAATGGGGAGGCCAGCGGCACCGGCATGGACGCCGAGATCCTTCAGTTCCTCCGTCAGCAAGATGGCTGGACGCAGACCAATGATGTCAG